CTGATGCTTTAAGCTCGTCAATCAGAAACTTACAAGCATCCAATGCATCCGCTCGATGGACAGACGATATTGCAACAAAAACACTAGTCTCTCCAACAGGAACAGTACCCAAGCAGTGGGCAACTGCAATCGAGTGGATATCCCACGATGCTCGGGCAGAAGAACAGAGGGTTTTTAAACAACGTATCGCCATTGGAACATATGCTTCATACTTTAACTCTAAGACTTCCTTGCCCTCAAAGGTGTCGCGTGTGGTACCTTCAAACGTTGCTATAGCTCCACATTTGGGAGAACGAACATAACGAGTATATTTGTTGGTGTCTATTGGATTATTCTCTTCCAAGATCTCAATTAGATCTCTCTCCTCATCAGCCATTTGAATCAGACCTATAACTCTAAACAACAGCTCAAAAACTTCACTTTTGCTTCCTAAGAATTACTATAATCCACTCTAGAAATATTTAACATTCACACACTTCTTCAACTAGCTTTTCGCCTCTTTTTTTCTCTCTTTGTATTTGATAGAATTCGCCCCGGTGCACTAAGCTCCCACTATGCGCGGGATTCGAGAAGGACCGGACCACAAGATTCTATTATACACAATCTATACATTTTTGCAAAAGGCTGTTTCCACGGCTCGAACCCGTGACCTCCTAGTCACATGACAACAATTTTACCAGTTACGCCAAGGCTCCCCTTAGGAAGTATATCACAGCAAATTTAATTAAGAACATAGGACCAAATTAAAAAGGGAAGGGATTAACCAGGACTGCACCTGCAGTTTGAGTTTCATAAGAGTTTTATCTGTTACATTAGGCTAATTATCCAACTATACCTCTAATCAATCAATTTCAGCTAATGATCTTGGATTATAATTCTCAAAAAGACCACTTCATTAATTCTTATACAAATTGCAGTCCACTCTCTAATCACTAATAGAATAATCTTGGTACACAGAATAATTATTCATTAGTTATTTAAGATGTTAATATCTTTAACAAATTAGCCTCAAGTCAAATGAAGGCCAACAGGTTGAGATTTTAGGAATATCTTAGTTTAATTGATTTCAAGTGCAGGGATTTGGGATGGTTAGAAATAACAATCAGTTTCAAAAAATTAGAACAATAAGGTGGATTTTAATTACTTTAATACCAAGTACAGAAAACTCACTAATAATAAATATTCCATTCTTTTCATTTATTTAATTACAGAACACAACTCTGTACCCTTTGACGGATTCACGAAAAAGATTGAATCTTTGAGTACTTACCAGTAGAAGAGAAGATTTAGGAAGTGGCTGGTTGTTGAAACCGCAGTGTTGGAGCTTATCTTTCTGATCCAGAGAAGAGGATTGCAATTTTTGGCATTAGCTGAGTTTCCTTATTTATATGTGTTTGACTAATAGCCTGTTTGGCCAAGCTGGAAAAATCAGCTTATTTTGAGAAGTGTTTTTTTCAAAAATGCTTTTGAAAAAAGTACTTTTGTAGAGAAGCAGTTTGTGTTTGGCTAATCAGTCTGAAAAGTACTTTTGAGAAATAATTTGTGTTTGGTCAAACTTTTTAAAAAGTGCTTTTAAGTGTCAAATTACGAATAAGGACATGAATAGATTACTTAATAATTAATATTATAAGTGAATAAATAATCTCAAAATTTTGTTATTACATGCAATAATTAATAAAAAATTTATTTTATTCAAGTAAAATATGAAAATAAAATTAAAAAGTACTTAATTCTTTTAATATAAGTTAAATATATTAAAATTCCTTCAACAAATATAAAAGTATTCATCCCTAAAGTCACTATATATTAAAAAGTTTTCCTAAAAATAAGAAGAAATATTTATAAATTAATATCCTAAGTATTAGGTTTAAGGGTTATTTTGGTATATACTATATTTTGTTAAGGGTATTTTAGGTAAGAAGAAAAGCCAAAACTGCTTCTGCTTCTGCTTTTGGAAAGAAGCTACTTTTTTCTGCTTCTCTGAAACTGTTTCTGCTTCTTCCCAAAAACACTTTTTTTCCCCAAATAAGCTTGGCCAAACACCTCAAGTTAGGAAAAAAAAGTGTTTTTGAAAAAAAAAAGCACTTTTGGCCTCTTGAGAAGCTTGGCCAAACAGGCTATAAGTTCAGGTCAGGTTCATGAATGCACCTGCGGGTCGGGTTCTCACCCACTTTTCCTAATTCCTGTTTCCCCCACCTCACCTTTTTTTTCCTCTCTTTTTTTCATCTTGTGTCTTGTTTGGGGGCTAATTAATATGATTTCACGCTGAAATATTTAACTTCAAGAATAAATCCCTACCACGACCTTGTTCACAAGGCTCTAACATTAAAATTATAGGAGGAAGGCCTTACAGATTTGAAGAAAGCTTTGACTTCATCTCCTGCCTAACTGACTCCAATCTCCGGGATGTAGGTTTTTTTGGCTCCATGTATACATGGTGTGATAATAGGGACCCTCCTAACACCATATGGAAAAGGCTTGATAGGCGAGCATATAACTCTGAATGGTTTGATAGCTTTGGAGGGACCTCTGTTACTCACTTGTCCAGATCCTACTCAGATCATGCCCCTTCACTTATTACTTGCAAAGCTAACAATGTTGATTTCACAAGATACTTTAAATTTCTTAACATTTGGGCTGAGCATAAAGACTTTTTGGATGTGGTACAACATGCATGGGATATTAATGTGGTAGAAAACTCCCTATATATCCTACATCAGAAAAACAAGAACACTTGCAACTCCCTCCATTCATGGTCAAGAGAGGCATTTGGGGATATCTATGAGGAACTTAAGAAATTGAAAATCCTCATTAGAAGCCTTGAAGAAGCCTCCTTGACCAACAATTGTCCTATAAAGAGAATGAATCTTTCTAAGGCCAGAGCTGGTTTTACTCGATATCTTAAGCTTCAGGATAATATTCTGAGGCATAAGGCGAGAGTCAAATGGTTGAAAGAGGGGGATGCCAATACTGCTTTCTTCCATGGATCATTAAGAATAAGAGAAAAAGATTAACTATCCAGAAGATTAAGGACATGGAAGGCAACTGGGTTGAAGGAAGCAATGAAATTGCAGATGCAGCTCTCAATTACTTTGATCACTTGTTTTCTGCCGACATCACTGTTGAGGATAGTAATGTCCTAAGTGTGGTAAAAAGAGTTGTTACCAATGAAGACAATGATGATATTACTATCATTCCTAATCTAGAGGAGGTGAAAGAGGTTGTGTTCTCTATTGACCCTCATAGCTCCCCTAGTTCAGATGGTTTGACAGGTAAATTTATCAATCATGTTGGCCTATTATTCATGAAGATCTCTTTGAAGTTGTGGTTTCCTTCTTTCAGGGAGCTACATTGCCTAAATTCTTCACTCATACATATATCATTATGCTTCCTAAAGTGGAGGCCCCTCAAAGCTTCTCTGACATCAGGCCAATCAACTTGTGCAATGTTTCTAGCAAAATTATTGCTAAAATTCTAAATGCTAGATTAAGCAAAATTTTGCCCAAGATCATCACTCAAAACCAAAGTGGTTTTGTTAAAGGAAGAGCCATAACTGAAAATATTCTACTAGCACAGGAGCTTGTCAATGATATTGGCAAACCAAGGAAAGGAGCTAATGTGGTGATCAAACTGGATATGGCTAAAGCCTACGACAGAGTCTCTTGGCCTTTCTTATGTTTCATGTTGAGGAAATTGGGATTTGCAGAAGTATGGATTGATCTAATTCAGAGATTCATTTCTAACAATTGGTATTCCATCATTGTGAATGGTGGCAGACATGGCTTCTTCAAATCAGGAAGAGGCCTTAGACAGGGAGACCCTCTATCCCTTTCTCTATTTATACTTTATGCAGAATTACTTTCCCAGATGCTTAATAATCTATACACCAATAGTAGATACAAAGGCTATTTTATGAATGATCAAGGACCTAAAATCAATCACCTGTCTTTTGCAAATGACACTATCATATTCTCTAGCAGCATGAAATTTTCACTTCAGCTGACTGTAAAGACTTTTTCCTAGTATGAAAAGGTTTCAGGGCAATTGATCAACAAGAGCAAAAGTTGTTTCACTATGTCTCCTGGCACGGCACAATGCACCATCAATAGGGTCAGAAGAATCCTTGAAATGAGGTATGATCACTTCCCTATGAAATACTTGGGGTTCCCCCTATTTCTGGAAGGAAGAAATTATCCTTCTACTATGACATGGTGACCAAGGTTGGTAGTATCAAGAACAAGGATATAGTTAAGGATAATGATAGAGATGATAGAGTTTTGGAAGCTCCAAGG